AGTACATAATGGAGGGAAATAGTCACTTCTCTTGTCTGCTGGCAGTGCTCTCAGCCTAATATGCCATTAGCTTTCTTGGCAACAAGGGCACACTCTTGACTCATATCCAGCTTCTTGCCCACTGTAATCCACAGGTATATTTCTGCTGAACTGCTGCTGAGCTGGTCAGTTTCCAGCCAGTAGCAATGCATTGGATTCTTCCATCCCAAGTGCAGGACTCTGCACTTGTCTGTGTTGATCCTCATCAGATTTCTTTTGACCCAATCCTCCAGTTTGCCTAGGTCACTCTGGACCCTATCCCTACCCTCCAGTGTATCTACCTCTCCCTCAAGTTTAGTGTCATCTGCAAACTTGCTGAGGATGCAATCCATCCCCTCCTTCAGATCATTAACAAAGATGTTGAACAAAACTGGCCCTAGAACCAAGCGATGGGGCACTCCACTTCATACTAGTGGCCAACTAGACATCGAGCTGTTGATCACTATTCATTGAGCCTGTTGATCTAGCCAGCATTCGATCCACCTTACAGTCCATTCATCCAGGTCATACTTCTTTAACTTCTGGCAAGAATACTGTGGGAGACCATAAAGACCTTTTCCGGAGGATCTCTTATTCCTACTTTCAAGGAATTTGAAAGTAGGAATAAGAGATCCTCCGGAAAAGGGCTTTATTCCGGAGGATCGCGCCAGTCTAGACGCTTTTTTTCCGGCTTTTCCCCAAGCCGGAAAAAAAGCGGCGGACATGTTTATTTAAATCCGCGGGGGATATTTAAATCCCCCGCGGATTTCCCTATGCTGACTTACCTGATTTGCATCCCTTTTCCGGAATTTGTGGCCAGTCTAGACGTAGCCCAGGTGTATCACATCCACCACTTTCCCTATACACACTGAGCCTGTTAGCTCATCATAGAAGGCAATTAGGTTGGTCAGGCATGACTTGCCTTTGGTGAATCTATTTTGACTATTCCTGCTCACCTTTCTTTCTTCCAAATGTTTCAAAATGGATTCCTCGAGGACCTGCTCCATAGTTTTTCAGGGACTGACGTGAGGCTGGCCAGTCTGTTTCCCCCCCAATTTTTCCTTCTTACTCCCTTTTTTTTAAAGGATAGGCACTTCATGTGTCTTTTTTAAAATCATCGGGGTCCTCCCCCGATTGCTACGTTTTCAAAAATAGTGGCCAATGACTCTGCAGTCACATCAGTCAACTCCCTCAGTGCTATCGGATCCATTCGATCCGGCTCCATGAACCTGTGCATGTCTATCTTTTCTAAATAGTCCGTAAGCTGTTGTTTCACTAGTGAGGGCTGTTCGCCTCCTCCCCATACTGTGCTGCTCAGTGCAGCAGTCTGGGAGCTAGCTGACCCTGGCTGAAGACCAAGACAAAAAAAGCATTGAGTACTTCAGCTTTTCCCACACCATCTGTTGCCTTACTTTCCTTTTCAGTAGAATCATAGAATACTAGGACTGGAAGGGACCTCGAGAGGTCATCTAGACCATCCCTGATAGACATTTATCTAACCTACTCTTAAATATCTCCACAGATGGAGATTCCACAACCTCCCTGGGCAATTTATTCCAGTGTTTGACCACCCTGACAGTTAGGAACTTTTTCCTAATGTCCAACCTAAACCTCCCTTCCTGCAGTTTAAGCCCATTGCTTCTTGTTCTATCCCCAGAGGCCAAGATGAACAAGTTTTCTCCCTCCTTATGACACCCCTTTAGATATCTGAAAACTGCTATCATGTCCCCCCTCAATCTTCTCTTTTCTAAACCAAACAAACCCAATTCCTTCAGCCTTCCCCCATAAGTCATATTAAGGGTCCCACACTTTCCCTGATGACCACCTTGTTGTTTCCTAACATACCTATAGAAACCCTTCTTTACATTCCTTGGAACTCCAATTGTGCTTTGGCCTTCTTGCTTACATCCCTGCATGCTCAAGTAATATTTTTATACTCTTCCCTAGTCATCTGTCCAAGTTTCCACTTCGGTGTACTTAAACCCAAAAAGGAAGCTTACAAGATTTCTGTGTTAAGCCAAGCTGTCACCTGCCATATTTGCTATTCTTTCTGTACCTTGGGATGGGTTGTTTGTGCACTCTTTTTAAACCTCAAGATCTTTTAGTCTGGGTTTCTAGCAAGCCTGACAAAATGGGACTCTTGTCTCAGTTGTGGCCTCAGGAGTCAATTTCTGATTATAAAAACCCTGCAGTACCACAGTGCCCCCAACGATAGGGGAGCCCCCAAAATGCAGGACAAATCTCATCTGACATCCTGCCCCCAAGTGTCACGAATCATGGGTAGTGTGAATGGATAGCATGAGTGAATTAACAGTAAGTGAGCTGAAGAGAGGCCATGCTGAGCTCTGAGCAAGAGCCCCGAAGTATTATGAACTTGTTTACAACTTAAAGAAAAGAACTGTGTAAGAAGAAGACAAAGACTGTGTGTGATGAGAAGATAACAGATGTACTGGAGGAGGTAACATTTTCAGATAAGGAGGAGTAACAAGGGAAAGAATTAATCCAGGACATTCTATTGTTTATAACTCGTGGTCAGGCAAATAGAATTGGGTGGTGTAAGCAGGACACTCCAAGATCGGTTGCGAGAACACCTAAGAACTGTGTAAGAAGAAGACAAAGACTGTGTGTGATGAGAAGATAACAGATGTACTGGAGGAGGTAACATTTTCAGATAAGGAGGAGTAACAAGGGAAAGAATTAATCCAGGACATTCTATTGTTTATAACTCGTGGTCAGGCAAATAGAATTGGGTGGTGTAAGCAGGACACTCCAAGATCGGTTGCGAGAACACCTTTGGGGGGTGGGGTGGGGGGGTGCGACCTGCGGAGGATGGGGGGGGTGCAACTTACGGACACCACCCCACCCGGATCTGGACTGTGTGTAACCAATGGATATAACTCCACGTGGACTGATTTCCCCTCCTCTGAGGGGTTATATACCACACCATTTTGCCCCATGAGTTGGAGTCCATTGATTTGGCTTATTGGGGTGACGTGGACTTCCGCCTCAACATTACCTGGGGTCTGGCCGTCCCAGGAGGGTGTGTGTGTGTGTGTGTGTGTGTGTGTATGTGTGGGCATATTGGATTAAGGATTAGATTTAGATTGTTAATTATTCCATTTAAATATTGCTTTCAATACCTTTTAATATTTGTGATGCCTTTTAATATCTTTTAATGCCGTTTTAATTGCTTAGTACTAAATATCTATATACGTATAGTGCTTTTAATACTGCTCCTGTTAAAGGTATAGTTGATATACTGTGGGAGCCTCTTTTGTTCTGTGAACACTGTGTACTGAACGTGTATTGTGATTCGGCCTGGTCAACTGTATCACAGCGCCCTCTTGTGCCACAAGTCCCGGCAGGCAGCACAGGCAGGCAGCCTGGCTACTGGCACATCTCTGCACACCCCTGGAAGGGGAGGAGGTGGCTCCATGTGCTGCCCTGCGCTGGGCAGCGCACAGAGACCCACTGTCCCTTCAAGAGGGAAACAGAGACATGCCAGCAGCACAGCAGGGCAGAGCTAACTCCCTGACGACTGTCTCCCTTCCTCTGCATTGCTTCCGTAAGCACCGAGCATGTCCCTGCAGCCTCCGGCAGGGCGTGTCTCCACACATTGCCCCTGCCCTGCATGCAGATACCACTGCACTCACTGGTTGGGTATTGCAGCCAATGGGAGTCATGAGGTGACGCCAGCAGGTGACAGCATGTGGAACCCCCCTGTTTCCCTAGCCTACCAGTCACTTCCAGAGGGGTTTGGTAGTTGCTGTGGGAACCATGCTGCTCTGCTAGCCCCCCCTTACTTCCCAACCCCATTCCCCGGTGTGGCACCAACACTCAGAATTCCTCCTCCCAGAGCCCAACCCCCGCATACTCCTGTACCCCAAGCCCCTCCCCCAATCAAGGTACCCCGCTTTTATTTTCATGTTCTTCCTGTTACTTATAATATAGAAGAACAATGAGGGAAAACAACGAAAAATGGGAGGGAGATTAATATTCTTTTTCTTGGTTTGGTCTCTGTGGGGCCCCTCCAAAAATGAAGCTGTGCACAGGGCCCTACTAACTCTAAATCTGCCACTGTGGGGCTTCTATGCATCACTGTAATGCTAAATGAACAAGATCGGTTTTTGCCCCCTCCACATTCGGGTCCCATGATGGAAAGCTTGCTCCACTCTATGGAGAAGGCAGCCCTATGAGGAAGATAAATATTTCAGATTTTCTGTATTGGATAAACTGAGGAACAAGGGAAGTCACGCATCCAAAGTCCCACAAGGTACAGGGGCCAGAAGTGGGAACGGAAACCATCAGTTCTGATTTCAGGCCACGGGTCTAACTACTCATCCCCACTCCCTCTGCCTGTTACCATCCCACAAAGGGGAGTTAGGGAGCTGAGGGATTGAAGCTATTGTGCCTCTCCCTTAGCTCTGAGCTCCCTTAGAGCTTCCAAAGGGGAAGCTACCCAGCTGGGATTTGCTCAGCCCCTCCCCACCACTTCCACCAGGATTCAAAACCACGTTTTAAAAAAGGCTTAAACGAGGTTGTCTTGGTTCCTGAGCCTGGGGGGAGACGACCACCTTCTGCTGTGGGGGGAGAGACCCCAGCCCTCCTGCTGTGCTGGGCCTGTCCCTACTGCTGGGTGGGTGGAAAGAGACCCCTGACCCCTTTCCTTTCCTGTGGGAGCCCTCTTGCTAGGCTCCTCTTGCCTGGGCCTCTGGGGGAGACCCCCATGCCTGGGTGTCCTGCCTGGGAAGGAGAGACCCTGGCCCCCTGTTTTGTGCTAGCCCGGGTCCCCCTCCTGCGCGGCCCCTCGGGTCACCCCTGTCCCTGGGTCTTACCCCTGCTGCCTGGTGCTCGGGGTGGGCGACTCCCCTCCCCCTCTCCCTCCCCCTGCGTGTGCTTGGGAACCTGACCCCTCCCCTGCCTGCCGCCTGGCAGCGGCCAGACCCTCCCCTCCTCCTGCCCAGCCCCTCCCCTCGCCCGCCGCACGCCGGCCCCTCTCCTCGCCCGCTCTCCGGCCGCAGTGGGAGCGGAGCGCTGGCTGGCAGCGGCCCGGCAGGGAGCGAGCGAGCCCCGCGGCGGAGCGGAGCGGGGTGGGGAAGGAAGGGAAGGGAGCCGCGCACGCTGCCTGCTCCGTCCCTGCCCCACTTCCTTCCACCCGGCTGGAGGGGCCGGGGCCGCGGGAGATACAAAGGAGCGGCAGGGGGGGAGAGACACAGACACAAGGGGGCATCGTGCCCGCCAGGCACCCTCGAGGCAGAGCCAGCTGGAGAGGGGGACCACAGCCCGGACACTGACTCTCTGTGTTACCTCCCCCTGCCCGGGGGAATCGATCGCAGCCGGCGAAAGCGCCTCGCTCTTGGAAACACGCTTCCTCCCACCCCTTTCTGGCGGAGTGAAAAACCTGGACAGTGCGCCTTGACATCTCCCTCCTCAATGTTAAGCGATTTCCACCCGAAGAGGGGCAAGTCTTGGACCTGCGCCGACCAAGCGGGGGTGAAATCGAAGGGAGGAAAAGATTTTTGGAAGTTGATCCGCTCCCCTCTCCTCCCGTGGTTTTTTTTTTTAAAGAACACTAAAATTTTCTTGTTGTGCAGGGCATAGGTTCCCAGCTTCCTAGGAAATCCTCTGGACGGAGAGGAGAGGATTGGAAAGAATAATAATACAAGGATACAGCTGGGCCCTGTTTGCTTTTCCTGGTTTTTGTGCCTGAAGATGCTATCCTACAGCGTGCTGGATGCAAATGTGGTGGATGTGGAGAAAAGGAGAAACCCTTCTAAGCACTATGTGAGTACAGACAAGTTGACATGCTGACCCTCTCACCCGCCTTGCATGCTGTAGCAGGAGTAAATCCTGTTATATGAGCCAATGTGTTAATTGTCACTTATTGCCCCATCATTCAACGGAGATTTGCAGTGTTTTCAAGAGCATATAACTAAAGTGATATAAGCTGAATTGCTTTCTGTATGTATCCCAGTAAATCTCGGCAAAGCACCAAAAGCAATCTCCCAAAAAACCTAGTGAAGTGAAATTTGCAAATATTTGACTTTGTATATCCTAATGCAAAAATCTGTTACATGTACAGTTCTAAGAGGTCGACCCTGCAACTCTCTCACCATAACTGTATCTTGTGTTGCGCTCGGTGCTGCTCTCTAGGTCAGAGGAGTGTATGAATTTGCATTTGTAATATATGTCAAACAATATGTCTTTGAGAGGAGTCCCTTTAAAATCAGTGCTATTGAATATATTCCAAAAATAGGTCTCCCAACTTTGTAGTGGGTGCATTTTTAAAAATTATATGGCTGGAGTAACCACTTTCTATCTCTAATGCTTGCTTAGGACCTTGTGCTGTTCCAGTGGGTGCAGTGCTACCCTGTGAAATCCAGGTTCCGCTTTCTGCTGTGCCCTAGATTTCCTGTGTGACTTGACTTTAAAGGAATTCTCAGCTTCTGGGTGCATCGGTTCCACATCTGTACTATGGGATAATAGCATGGACCTACCTGGGGGCAAGGAAGTGCACAGACCCATTGGGCCCATGGGCAAGGTGGGGTGGGGGGGCTCCATATGCCTGAAAGGGGTGGAGCCTGGAACAGAAAGGGCAGGCAGGGCTGGGGGCAGCCTCTGCCCAGAGCCCGTGTGGCAATTTAAAGGTCCTGGAGCAGTGGCGATGGCAGTGGTAGCTGGGGGCCTTTTGAATCGCTCTGCCGTGGGGCACTTGTCCCCTCCCCCACCAGGCAAGCCCACCTGGAAGGGGGTGGGGGCTGTGAGACCAAATACACAAAAGATTGCAGGATGCTCAGATACTATGAGTGGTCATATGAGTAATTAAGATAAGAAAAATGACAAATGAACTGTTTATGCAGTGGTCCCCAACCTTTTGGGGCTGCCGGGCGCCCGGGGGCAGAGGCCACGCATGCGCCGCGCGCCCAGGGGCAGCATCGGCATGTGCCACGACCCCGGGCAGGGGCCGCCCCTGTGCCACAGGCCGGCACTGGCATGGGCCGCACGCCCGAGGTGGGGGCTGCGCACACGCCAGGCACCCGGGGTGCAAGAATAGCTTGGGCCGGCCCTGGTCACGAGGCGGGCACACATAAATGCCCCGGCGGGCACCATGGTGCCCACGGGCACTGCGTTGGGGACCACTGGTTTAATGTATGTGACCGTCTATGAAAGGTAGTACTTGACAGAATCATAGCGGGGGAGAGGCGTCTCTTAGTACAAGAGCAGCTTAACAAGTGAGGCCTCTCACAGAGATTTCACTGTAATTTTTCCCCACCGCTTTTCCGCCGCCTCAAATAGATTGCTTTGTTGTTTCTTTGTTCTTTGTTGTTGTTGGTTGTTTCCTGATATGAAGGTGGACTTGCCGTATTTGCTATCAAAGCTCCAGTTCAGTGTGCAGTGGGTCCCTTAACTCCCCTATTAAACCCTTATCAGTTCAGTAAATTGTGCAATACTTGCTCTGGTCCAGCCAGGAGGGAGCAGAGCAGGACAGCTGCTGTAGGCTACTGGAGTTAGCCAAGGAGAAGGTGCCAAGGCATCAAAAGAGCATTTTGCTCTTTGGTCTTGTAAATGTAATTAGGACTATGTTTTGAAAGGTAGATGTGCCATGCTATCCACACTTGTTTCCTTTTCATGTCTGCCTCACCTCCTGTCTTCACACCTTGCTGCTAAATGAAGAAACAGGCTGCCGCATCTCTCCCAAGACCCTCTGTTGTGTGGTGGTACTGCCTAGAGGTGCTGATAGCATGTGATAGAGTAGGCTCTCTTGGGCTATGGCTACACTGCCGTTTTTTTTCCAGAAGATGATATACAAATCACACTCACATTTGCATATCTTTTTTCGATTCTTTTTGCGGAAGAGGTTTTGCCAATATTTGGTCCTGTGTAGACGGAGCCAAATATCTGAAGAAAACCCCTCTTTCGCAAGACCCTGAGGTTTATAGAGTCTTGAGAAAGAGGGTTTTTTTCCCGACATTTGGCCCTGTCTATATGGGGCCAAATATCGGCAAAACCTCTTCCACAAAAAGAATTGGAAGAAGATATGCAAATGCAAGCACGATTTGCATATCTTCTTCCGGGGGGGGAAAGAAAAAGGCAGTGTAGCCATAGCCTCAGAGTCTCTGTGCTCTCTGGTTGAAACATATACATCAGTTGGGCAAGACTTTTGAATTCTGTTGCTTTATGTCTGTGTTTTAGTAACACAGCATAGAGCTTTTCCATATTCTTCCCAAAAGTACCACTCATGTAGCAGACCTTCCTAAGATTAGATTTTATGGTATAGAAATGAATCAGTCATCACTCTTCTTTCTACCCGATATAGTTGTAGCCCAGTGAGTCCATCTCAAAGACTAGGGCAAAGCCCCAGGTATAGTTAACTTTGGTTAAGCTTTCTGGGTAGTTAGCTTGTAGCCATATCCCCTTGGGACTGTATTTCTTGTCAGAGCTCCTGGCCTAAGTAGCTATAGTCTTGTGTATACTTTACAAGTGGACGTTAACACTGATGTGCTGGCAGATTTCCACTTCAGCAATTGCACTCTGTCTACTTTTTCCTCTGTCGCTTCAGTTGGATAAAGAGTTCTTCAGTTCCTGTGTAATGTTGATGGGACTTGTGGCCAACCCAGTTATATCGCTGCTCTGCATCTCCCCAGAGATGGCTGCAATTTATTGCTGAGTGTTGTGATCTCCATGTAGAAGGATGCTGTGAAGCACTGTAAACTTACAAAAGATGATATATAAGTAACATCATAGCTTCTTAGTCCCTAAAAAGTGACCTAGACAGGTTCATTTTTATTCTTTATAACAGGGTATACATGAAAGATGTAACAATTACAGCATCATTTTGAGTTTCAAACAAACATTCTTCCTTATTCCAGCTGCCTGCTAAACCTTCCGATTTTGAATCTGTTTCCACGGTGAAAGTTGGCATTAAATTCTGCACATCTATCTAAGATCCCTTCTCTTTTGCTTAGGTGTCATTCCAGTCATTGTAGAATCTTCCAGGCCAGACAAAACCAGAATTTCAAATGAATCATAGAGCTGGAAGAGACCTCAGAAGGTCATCAAGTCCAGCCCCCTGTTCTAGGCAGGACCAATCCCAACTAAATCATCCCAGCCAGGGCTTTGTCAAGCCGAGACTTAAATACTGCTAGGGATGGAGACTCCACTACTTCCCTAGGTAACCCATTCCAGTGCTTCACCACTCTCCTAGTGAAATAGTTTTTCCTAATATCCAACCTGGACCTCTCCCACCACAACTTGAGACCATTGCTCCTTGTTCTGCCATCCGTCACTACTGAGAACAGCCTCCCTCCATCCTCTTTGGAACCTCCCTTCAGGAAGTTGAAGGCTGCTCTCAAATCCCCCCTCACTCTTCGCTTCTGCAGACTAAACAGACCCAACTCCCTCAGCCTCTCCTCGTAGGTCATATGCTCCAGCCCTCTCATGATTTTGGTTGCCCTCCACTGGACCCTCTCCAATGAGTCCACATCCTTTTTGTAGTGGGGGGTCCAGAACTGGACACAATACTCCAGATATGGCCTCACCAGAGCCGAAGAAAGGGGAATAATGACATCTCTGGATCTGCTGGCAATGCTCCTCCTAATGCAACCTAATATGCCATTAGCCTTCTTGGCTACAAGGGCACCCTGTGTTGACTCCTATCCAGCTTCTTATCCAAAAATGTTTTTTGTTTGTTTGTTGTAGTTTAAAAAAAATAAAAACCTAAACCAGCCAGAGTTCTTGTACTCATCCATAAAACAGCAGAAAGGGGTATAGCTTCTCTGCCCTGCATTCCCACCCCTAATTGCAGTTGGTCTTAAGTATTAGAACTTGCTCTCATGCTTTATCACCTAAATGCCGAGTATCTTTTGGGAGCTCTACAGCATCTTACATTTGGAATCTCTTTCTGTTGGGTAGTGGTTGAGAGGAAGTTATCTCCTCCATAAGAACATACATAGAACATAAGGATGGCCATACCTGGTCAGACCAAAGGTCCGTCCAGCCCAGTATCCTGTCTACCGACAGAATCCAATGCCAGGTGCCCCCGAGGGAGTGAACCTAACAGGTAATGATCAAGCAATCTCTCTCCTGCCATCCATCTCCACCCTTTGACAAACAGAGACTAGGGACACTATTCCTTACCCATCCTGGCTAATAGCCATTAATGGACTTAACCTTCATGAATTTATTTAGTTCTCTTTTAAACCCTGTTATAGTCCTAGCCTTCACAACCTCCTCAGGCAAGGAGTTCCACAGATTGACTATGGGCTGTGTGAAGAAGAACTTCCTTTTATTTGTTTTAAACCTGCTGTCCATTAATTTCATTTGGTGGCCCCTAGTTCTTATATTATGGGAACAAGTAAATAACTTTTCCTTATTCACTTTCGCCACACCACTCATGATTTTATAGACCTGTATCATATCCCCTCTTAGTCTCTTCTTTTCCAGCTGAAAAGTCCCAGTCTCTTTAATCTCTCCTCATATACAGGGCTGCCTTTAGGAAGTGCGGGGCCCAATTCGAACCGTTTTGCTCCTCCCCCCCCACACCCAGGATTTTTTGTTGAGCAAAAAACACACACACACACACCAAACTACAACCACACACAAATATCACATCAGAAGTAGATCTAATCAAAATGTATATCAGTATAGTTGAACATTTAAAAAAATTGCCATTCTTTATTATGCAAAATTTTACACAACATTAAATCAGTTGCCTTAAGTATAGGTCAAATATTTTCAATTGCAAACTATCCAATTTTTTCAATAAAGTTTAAAGTTTGATTTTT